AGAGATATCCCCATGTTCGTTGCAGCATTATTCACAATAGCCAAGACATGGAAACAACCTGAGTGTGCACTGTTGGATGAATGGATAAATAAAATGTGGTGTAATGCTTCTTGGCCTTTTGGCTAAGATCAAGTGAAGAAAATGTGGTGTATATATGCAATGGTATGTTATTCAGCCATGAAAAGGAAGGAAATCCTGCCATTTGTGACAACATGAATGGACCTTCAGGGCATTATGCTATGTGACAAAAGTCAGACAAATACTATATGATCTCACTTATATATGAAATCTTAAAAAACTGAACTGTAAAGTCAAAAACTGAACTTGTAAAGTCAACTGGTGGTTACCAGGACCACGGGTTAGTGGGGGATATGGATGAATGTGGTCAAACGGCACAAATTTCCAGTTGTATGATGTATAAATTCTGGAGCTATAATATACAGCATGGTGACTATAGCTAACAACGCTGTTTTCAATACTTGAAAGTTGCTAGGGAGTAAATCTTAAAAGCTCTTACTACAAAAAAAAAAAAAAAAGGTAATTATGTGAGGTGATGGATGTGTTAACAAACCTTACTGTGGTGAGGGCGCCTGGGTGGCTCAGTTGGTTAGGTGTCTGACTTTGGCTCAGGTCATGATTGCACCATTTGTGAGTTTGAGCCCTATATCAGGCTCTGTGCTGACAGCTCAGAGCCTAGAGCCTACTTCAGATTTTGTGCCTCCCTCTCTCTCTTCCCCTCCCTCACTTGCACTCTGTCTTTCTCCCAAAAAATAAAATAAACATTAAAAAAAACTTTATTGTGGTAATCATTTATATATATAAAATTATCATATTGTACTCCTTAAACTTACACAATATTGTATGTCAATTATTATCTCAATAAAAACTGGAAAAAATAATAAAAAATAAAATGAAGCCTAAAATAATTATATTACAGGGGCATCTGGGTGTTAAGTGTCTGACTCTTGGTTTCATCTCACAGCTTCAGGGGTTTGAACCCCACATCAGGCTCTGTGCTAGCAGCCTGCACAGAGCCTGTTCGGGATTCTCTCTCTCTGCCTCTCCCCCACTCGTGCTGTCTCTGTCTCTCTCAAAATAAATAAATAAACTTAAAAAAATTAATAATAATTATATTACATGATTTATAATAAGATTATATATTCATATTTCATAACTATAATAATTTACATCCTATTTTTATTTCTAATTTTAGAACTGACACAAAGCATGAATGATTACATTTTGTGATCATAGTTAAAAACCAATGTATGGGGCGCCTGGGTGGCGCAGTCGGTTAAGCGTCCGACTTCAGCCAGGTCACGATCTCACGGTCCGAGAGTTCGAGCCCCGCGTCGGGCTCTGGGCTGATGGCTCAGAGCCTGGAGCCTGTTTCCGATTATGTGTCTCCCTCTCTCTCTGCCCCTCCCCTGTTCATGCTCTGTCTCTCTCTGTCCCAAAAATAAATAAACGTTGAAAAAAAAAATTAAAAAAAAAAAAAAACAATGTAAATATAATAAACCATGTAATGAATTAATGACAAAAGTAGTGAAATAGATGACAGAATTTGGAAGATAAATGAAGGGGTTAGGAAAAGGGTGAAGGTTACTCTGAAAGGGAAAATGACATCATCCTACCTACAAGGTATGTATCATCAGTTACCTATTGCTACGTAAGAAACATCCCCCCCAAATTTAGTGGCCTAAAGGCCAATACACATTTCTTATCTCATAGAATGTCTATGGGCAAATTAGTTGAGGGGTTCTGACTTAGGTTTCTCATGAGGTTGTGGTCAAGAAGTTGGCTTCAAGCTGCAGTCATCTAAAGGCTTGACTAAGGCTGGATGATCTGCTTTCAAGATGGCTCATTCACATGGCTGGCAAATTTGGTGCTGACTTTTGTCAGGAAGTCTCAGTTCTCTGCCACATGCACTTCTACTTAAGGCTGCTTGCATGTCCTCATGACAGGACAACTGACTTCCCCCAGAGCAAATGATCAAAAAGACAGTAAGGCAGAAGTTGCAACATCTACGCTGACCCAATCTTGGGAGTCACACACCATTTTTTGGCAGTGGTTACACAGATCAACCCTATTCAATGTCAGAAAGTCCATGAATACAAGGAGGTGAGAATCACTAGGAGCAAGGAATGGCTGGTTCCATAGGGTATTAATGGATACTTTCTGACTAAGGTTGTTGGAATAAAGAATAGATGTTTAAGCATATTATTTAAAGTTCTAAAAGTAACCACCTCCAAAAGAACACAAAATCATATAACTAAGAAACTCAAGGGAAGAGGTGGGAATGGGGAGAAGGGGGGAGTCATCTTCCCCATGAGGACATTGATTAACATAGCCTAAAGTTGATACATCAAGAAACAGAGAAGAGGTGCCTGGGTGATTTAGTCAGTTGAGCCACTCAGACCCTTGATTTCAGCTCAGGTAATGATACCACACTTTGTGGGATTGCTGAGCTCTGTGCTGACAGCATGGAGCCTGCTTGAGATTCTCTCTCTCCTTTTCTCTCTCTGCCCCTTGCCTGCTTATGCGCACTCTCTCTCTTTCAAAAATAAATAAATAAACACTTTTAAAAATGGATATATATGAATATTATTTACTCTGGTGATAGCCACCCTTAGAATGAAAAATAGGGGCATGTGGGTGGCTCAGTTGGTTGGGTGTCTGACTTCAGCCCAGGTGGTGATCTCACAGTTCGTGAGTTGGAGCCCTGTGTCAGGCTCTGTGCTGACAGCTCAGAGCCTGGAGCCTGATTCAGAGTCTGTGTCTCCCTCCCTCTCTGCCCTTCCCCCGCTTGCATACTCTCTCTCAGAATAAATAAATAAACATTAAAAAAAAAAAGCATTAAAAATAGAACAGTTAAGAAGCGACTGCCTCAAAAAAGTGATACTAAGAATAGCATGGGAGATTTTTTTTTAAACGGTATTATGATACCAATCTATTTCTTAAAACTATGTGTATGTTTATTTAACAATAATGACTTAAAAAGTATAATTTTATCTTCAGGACGTAAGCATGTTTTTTCTATAGTACACATGCTAGGATTAACCCAGAAGTCCAAGAATCTGTTAAAATACTTCCCCTGCCCCATAGCTAAATGGTCACACTGACATATGCTTAATACAGCTTTTAATGCTGTAAAATAAAACACTGTGCAAACAGTAAACTTGTTTGGACTTTTTTATACTCTAGGGTAAAACAACTCTTACAACAATTTGTTTCAGAAATTAAGAATTTGCTTACTTCCCCCAAATGCACACTCACTTTCTTTAAGAAATGTCCTTTTTCATGTTTTGCAAGTCCTAAAATGCTGTTGAAAATAAAAACTTTTAGTGAAAGATTATATTCTTAAACTTGTGGTGCTAGGGGCTATTGACCATTTTAGGACCCGAATAAGAAATAGAAACTAGTTTATTGCAGAAAACCAATGAAAGTATATCGCCCAATAGAAATTTCTCTGTCAAACATATCTTTAACTAAAATTAACCTGGTGAGGGGCGCCTGGGTGGCTCAGTCGATTAAGTGTCCAACTTCAGCTCAGGTCATGATCTCACAGTCTGTGAGTTCGAGCCTCCCATTGGGCTCTGTGCCAGCAGCTCAGAGCCTGGAGCCTGGTTCGGATTCTGTCTCCCCCTCTCTGCCCCTTCCCCACTCACACTCTGTATCTCTCTCTCTCAAAAATAAAATAAAAACATTTAATAAAATAAAAATAAAATAATTAAATTAACCTGGTGAGTTGATTTCTTGGGTGGGAGAAGAGTGGATGGGATGATAGAGCAGCCAGCTTACTGGACCTCACCCCAGAGGGAACAGCCCAGCACTGACATGTAGGTATAACAGGGAAGCAGTTGCTTCCAAAATTTAGGATGGGAAAGTAGACACCTGGGAAATATTTTCCATACAGTATTTGGCCCAATGTGGACAGTAGGAATTACCCAAGCTGCCACAAAGTGTCAGACAAAACAGAAGAAAACTGAGTTAGCCTAACAAGTCTGTGAGGGCCCTAGGATCAATCTGGCATTAAGTCCCAAACAGAGTTAACCATCTAGAGAATGGTTGCTTTTACTCAGGCTTCTTTATGGATTGTCAGCCTGTCACATTCCACTTGTTTCATGAGCATCATCTACAAGCCGCACTAAAAATTAATTAGCAAAACAGATTCATCACTTCGATTATAGGACACAGAGAGTCTAGAGTCGGGAATGTAATGTTTGCCATAGAGCTTTCTGGCTAGAAAGGCCAGAAAGACAGGAGTGCCTGACCATAATGGGATGATTAATCAAAGTTGCCTGAGCAACTCTTCCATGGTAAGCCCACAGTAAAAGAGGAAGAGCTGCAAGGCATAGTCACAGTAAAGCACAGCTCCAAACAACGTGATAAAACTGTAGAAACAAGGGTAGAGAGGCCAATCTGATACATCAATCAGAAATGGAGCAGCTAATTTTACACACATGAAAATTTTATAGGCTAAGAGCTTCAACGGCAGACATTGACAGGGCCTAAAAATCTCACATGTTATTCCAAACTAAAGGACACTGTTAGACACAAATTGAGGCAGCTGCCAGTGATCACTCAGGGTCACGTCTGCTCTCCACGGCTCTCTTAACAGCTCCGGCCTCCCGCTGGCCCCAGAGGTAACACAGAGCTGGCTTACTCATGTAGTTCCTCCCCCACCCTGGCCGTGATGCTGGTCCAGGGTTGGACACTGGCCAAACCTGTAGCTGGGATGCAGACTCCATATTGCCTCTCAGAGTGGCGAGGGGAGGATTCTGGAGTGGCTTGAGCTTTGTTCCCTGCCATTCAGGGAAAGGGCTTCCACGGCAGTCTGCAGAGGCAAAAATGAAGTCAGTGTGTGCACAGGTTCCAATGGCATTCAAATCCCCAGATGCAGCCGGACCTGCGGCTGACTCTATATGAACCGATGCATTCTTTTAGCTTTAACTAAAGTTGGGTTTTTGTCTCTTGAAAGAGGCTTACTGTCTATCATATGTGTAAAATAGTTTATTGAAGAAACACAGCTCTTAAGGGGAATAAATGTAAAACAATTTTTTTTAAGTATCGCCTGAAGCTATACTACTTTTAGTCTCTCTCTCTCTCTCTCTCTCTATCTTTTAAAGATATGCACAAATTAAATTCCTTTCGGTTTTTATGGGAGTCAGCAAACTTTTTCTGAAAAGAACCAGATAGTAAATATTTTAGGCCTTGTGGGTCACATGTGATCTCTGTTACATATTCTTGTTTATTTTGCAATCCTTTAGAAAAATGTCAAAACCATGGACTGGAGTTGGATTTGACCCATGGATTATTAAAACAGTTCAGCTTTGAGCTTCAATCTCATTTTGGGAGAGGCAGGTGCCTGCCGAGTATGCTGGACGGCCAGTATGTGTGCTCTGACACTGAGCTAATTCTGAAGCTACTCACATAGACAATTAAGTAAGTCGAGGTAGTCCAGCATGACTACCAAAGCCAGGACCAGGGTGAGGAAAGCAAGGTGCCCAGGACACAAAAGTTAAGGGGGTTCTCGTGCTTAGGTGCTAATCCTGCATTTGTACAAACCTAGCACTGAGTGCTTCCCTAAATTTCGCACCATGATGCCATCCCTTGCCTCATCCTTCTCCCGCCCAGGCTACCACCATCTAACTGCTCAGTCTTAAGAAGAGGGGAACTGGCTGGCTTGCTCTTTTCTACATTTGTGGTTTGCTCACAAAGCACTGGGCTCTTGGCCCTGGCTTCTCCTGGAGCATAACCCACTCTATATATTCATATTATCTCAGTCCATCAATCACCCCTACCCCGAATGGGACCTGGGGGCACAGGGAAACCAGCCAATATGCTGAGACTCATGCTTTTACTGTGTGGTGAGTAACATATGCAATTTTTTTGACCCAGGAGTCTAATGTCTTCTGCCATCAGACACGGAGGCTAACCTGTTAACTTGCAAGGTAAAATCAGACCCTCCATAGTTCTTAACATTCATATCTGATGCAAAACCCCATTTTTGCATCCCTACCCCTAAATCCATCTCAATCATGGGCTGGATGGCAACTCCAGAACTTGTAACAGTATCGTCTGTCTTTGTGATACTTTCTCCCTTTCCTTCTTTAAGTCTGGTGTTGGAAGCAAGGAGGAAGAATGAGGGGGATAGAAATGTGCAACTGCTTGCCTGGTGGTGGTGATAGAAAGGGTCCCTCATTTCTATTGACTGGACTTGGTTCTGTCTTATGCTGGTGGTCTTCTTGGGCTACTGTCAGCTTCACCTCAGCCCCTTAAGGGAGGAGGAGCTTGTCCCTTTGACCCATATGTGATAAATGTCCTCAAAGCCCCTCTTGAGGTGTGTGGTCTTCTCATTTGACCTAGGTAATTGTACAGTTCCTGTCCTTCCTTTAACTTCCAAGTTCCTTCTCAAGGAGCCCAAAGAATCTCTAGAGAACTCTTCCATAGCCTGAGGGCTGTGCAAACCTAGAGCAGGGTGGCGGCTCCACCCCTCTTCTATGTAGGCACTCGCTCCACATCCACATCAAGGTCCTTTCATACTCTGCTGACACAGGCTTCTCTTGCTGACCTCTTGCCTTCAGAGACCTGTAGACAGAAGCAGATAGTAGTTTCTACGTACACAGACTGCCCCAAATTCTATGGGATGTATTTCCTGCTCTCTCTAGGCTTTGTTCATGCTCCACTGAAGTGATAATAACAGAAGGACCTGTTAGGACTTTTGGTTTCAGACTGATTGTCTTGAAGCCACTCCCCAGGTTTGGAAGAAACCACCAGAAGGAGAGGAAGAAGTCCTCTGCTACACTGTTTCCCCTTAAGGTCAAAATTTCACTCCCCCTTCCTCAGACTTCTTTTTACATAAACTTGTGGGTGAAGGAAGTGGTTAATACAATAAATCCAGAATTTGGCAGTGTTGGACAGTAGAATATGGGAGAATTTAGTACCCTTTGTTCTCAGCTTTGGGCCTTGCCAGCAATTCTTGAATAACAGGAAAATTCCTATTGAATATCACACCCACATTAATGGACATGATTAAAGACATGGGTCTTTTTAAAGCAATCTCTACACCCAACATGGGGCTGGAACTTACAACCCCAAGATGGAGTCACATGCTCTACTGACTGAGCCAGCCAGGCACCCCCTAGGATATGGATCTTTTAAACACACTGGAAACGATCATATGTGACAACTTTGCAACATTGTTAGGTTCCATTCTAAAATAAATCCCACAATGGGAAACTTTGTACTATTTTCATAGGCTTTAGTATATATGATGATAGCACAAACAAAAGCTGGTCTCAAATTTAAGGCAAACTTTTTTTCAAGAGAAATTTATAATACATTCAAACATATTAAACACAAAAGACAACTTCAGAAATTCGGAAAACAAAAATTTCCTTACTAGAATTATAAAACTGTTTTCTGACTTAATAGAGTGCTTTTATAGTTACTTCAGTATTCAAATTACTTTATGGTCCTGTGCATCAAAGGTGATACTACCAAAAATATCATTTTGTGTAGTTTTAGGGTTGGCCTCAGAAGGGTCTAGATTGTTATGGCAGTGGTTCTTAAATTTCAACCTGCATGCATCAGAGTCCCCTGGTGGGCTTATTAAAACCCTAATTGCTGGACCCTAGCTAGCCCATTTCTGACCCAGTAGCTCCTATTGGGTGGTGTCAGCATCTGCATTGCTAACAAGTCTCCAGTGATGTCAATATTGCTGGTCTGGGAATCAAACTTAAAGAACCACTGCCTAGCACATCATTTTCTAGCTCAGGACAGCCCAGGGGCCCAATCCGTCCTTTCTTTATACAGTTTTATTATAACACAGACACACTCATTTGTCTACAGATTGTCTATGGCTGCTTTGTTGATACAATTACAGAGCTGTGTAGCTGCAACAAACTTTATGGCCTGCAAAGCCTTTTTTTGGTCCCTTGCAGAATATTCACTCTTGAATTTGGTCCTTTATAGGAAAAGTTTGCTTATCTCTGGTCTAGAGTATCATCTACGAGTGCATAGCCAACTCTGCCACGTAGCCTCCTGGATTGGGCAAAGGATTATAGAGGATAACCATACAAGGCTGCTGCCATGACTAGGGCTTATTTCATTAATTATACAATTTTATTAAATTGTACAATAGCCTTGACTTTGTATGGGTCACTTGTAGCTATCTACAAACTTTAAAATATTTGCTCAAAACCTTGCTTTCTATTCAGGTCATTATTTTAATTCCTTTAATGAAAAAAAAAATGTAATGTCTCCATACACCTTGGAGGATAAAAAACTGTTGCAATTACCTATGTTATCCAGTAACAGAGGGACACTGGAAGGATGCAACATGTACTATAGCGGAGTTTACTTCTCATACAGAGATGTACATACTAGGAAAAAAAACATCATAAAGTCAAAATTATGCTTGGAAATCTAAGTCACCTTTAAAATACAGTATACAACATTTACAGACCATGTTGGAGGCAGACTCTCAATATGTCCAACACAGCCAATTTTTCCTTCAGCATTCAAACAGATGGCTCATTCTTTGGGTGAGCACCAGATGAAGTAGTTGGCTTGTATTTGAGGCCATCTTGTATAAAAAAACTTATCTTTAAACACTAGAATCACACCCTGCACAGTGAGAAGCTCACGCTGTAAGGCAGAGAATCTATGACCAATTGAGGGAGCTATAGATTAACATCTCCCTTTTAACACTCAGTCTAGGGGAATACTCGAGAGAAATGGTAGGCGGAAGTGACTGCATGACTTAAATTCTCATTATTCTCTATTATTCCTCTCTGGCCCAGCACTCCAGTTGGAGTCATAAAATTTGAATGTATGGGACTCCCCTATGTTCATGAAGATTCTGATAATGAAATAAAGGTGTTGAAATGGTGGCTCATATCCCACTCCTGGTACCAATTTCTGTTATTGATCGGCTCAGAATAAGAAACATCCTAGGTAAACTTAAAGGAGAAAGATTTAAGATATATCAGCATCAATAATGGCACTAGTACTTTGATATTTTTATCTCTGTTTATGTCAGGGCTTGTTAGCTCCAAAAAATCCAAGCTGAAAGTTGACTGGGTCATTTAATCACCACCCATCATCTCTGACCCCCGAAGAGTCATGGCCATGGCTGAGTCAAAACCATGGCAAAATGAAAAAAAAAAAAAAAAAAAAAAGAAAAAAAAGAAAAGAAAAAGGAAAAGAAAAAGAAAAAAAAGAAAAAGAAAAAGAAAAAGAAAAAACCATGGCAAAATGAAAACACTCCTATTCCACACAGACAAAGCTGCCTTGGGCTACTTTCCTCTGACAAAGGCAACTTACAGGCTGTCACTTTAAGGCTCCATCCTTATTTAGTACAAATACCAAATACCAAGCACTTCCAAATGATCACAAAGATTATTTGAAGGCATTATTCATTTTTCATGGTAAGTTCACATGAAGTTGTTTTTAGAAAGACAATAAATCCTTGGTTAAAAATTTTTTAAAGATTCTTAAGTCCAAGTTTACTTACATTCCAAATAAAATTAAAATGCTACCTAAGCTGAGCCTCACACAAATCACGTGAAGATAGATATTAACCTTATTTTGCATATGAGAAACTGAAGAGCACAGTTAAGTCACACAGGTTTTAAGCTGGAGCTGGACCCTAAACCGAGATCTCCTGGTACTTTAAGAAGCTGAATTAGTAGGTTTCTTGATAGGTAAGTCAACAGCTAATGTTGGTGTAATCATAATGGGAACATGAAAAGAATATAAATTAATTACTTTACAATTATTTTAACTGTTGGATGTGTAAGTCCAAAATAGGATAAGGTAAAACAGTCTGTGACTGGAGCAGCCTCCAGCCTCAGGAAATGTAAATTTTACAGTTTCAACAATTCATATTACAGGGCTAGTGAAAATGAGGAATGCCATCTCTACCTTGCTAAAATAGGATAACGGAAGTTTAAAAGGTTCTTGTACCTAGTAACACTACCTTTCCCTTAGCATATTATTCATCTATGGTCAAGTAAACCAACTGAATTGTACCCTTTTCTTGTTTTTGTATAAAAAATCAGAAATAAAGTTTAAGGCAACTTGGGTTCATTAGAAAAATGGATGGCTTAAAATTTTCAAAATTAATGTAAAGAATTCAGTATACTTACTCATAAGTCATTATTCATTTGATTCAGTTTAATAAAACGTAATTGTTTCTTAAATTTAGTGCTTACGGGTGGAGATTGTTTAGACTGACCAATCCATCTTCCATTAGAACATCTGTCAATGATTAAAGAAACATCTCCCCATTAATGATGTAGGACTTCATTATTTTCTAATAGCTACCAGAATTTTGCTTTGAAAGTTAATGAACATATAACATAAAAAATCTTCTGTCCCAATTTGTTTTAAAATCTGAGCCCACTACTGATTCACACACAAAAAAGTTGTGAAATATCTGATCTAAATTTACATATTTTATTAGTCGGCAAAATTATGGTACCATTGCTTGTATGCATTCAATATATTTATTATCTGTGTTTCTCTACTTGCAGTTTGGACAGAACAATTGTCAACATTTGGGACTGTCCTGAGCACTGGAGGACATGTAGCATCTTTGGCTCCAGTACACTAAGTGCCAATAGTTCGCTGCATTTCTATAACCAAAGCAGTGTGTGGGCACAATCCATGAATGTGTCCCCAGATGCTGTGAAAACACTACCTACCACTCCCTTCATCCCTTTCGAGAACCACTGTGACAGACATTATAGTAGATGTGGACAAATCTGGCAAAGAGCCAGTTCTTTGGAAAAGGTCTTTAGGAGACTAGATAGGTTCAATGCAAGCTTTAGCTTACTTTTGACTTGCTGACTTATTATTGAGCTGCATTTCATTCTCGAATAATACATCCATATGATATTATGAATAACGAACACTGTTTATTCTAGTAGATACTTGTGTTCATCTAAGCCAAAGAAGGGTTCTGAGTCAGAACTCTAAACTCAGGAATTGTACCCCTCTCTTCCTATCGTGGCTGCTACCTACCCCTAAGCACCATGTAGGATTTGGTCCTCTTTTTAACCTGAAAGAATAAAATACAATGGAAAATCAGGTTATCTCTATTTATAAATTTCACGTATCATCCAAGATTTTTCTTTAAAGCAATTCAGATTTATTAATATTATTGATTTTATAGAGCACATTTATGTATCAATTTCAGACTTACTTTTGTTATGCCTGTACATATCACAAAGATATTACACTACAGAGCCTTTGCACAATTATGTATATGAACTCCAAACCAGAAAGCCTTAACTGAATTAAGACCGCATGGAGGCAACTTTATTACGACGCATGTGAATCTGAAATCTAAAAAGTGGGTACAGAATCAATCTGCTTTCACACTTTTTCTTCAAAAATTCATCTGCCAAAAAAAAGGGAAGGGAGGCAAAATTTCATTAAAAAATTTTCAAGTCTTCAAATTGAAACCACTCCTTAGCACACAGCCATAGAATCTGTTTTATATAAGCTTGTATCAAAAATAATCCAAAATATCCATTACATTTGTGTATTTGTTACAAATTGCCATGTACATTATAGATCCGTGTGTCTACATATGCACATAAACTGGCTATATTTACTGTAATAATGAGATTGCCTCTATAGAGTAAATGATACAATAAATGTTCAACTATTTTGAATGGTTGCTATTTCTATTTTATGGTCAGTGATATGTCTTCATTGTTTTGAAAATGTAGACAACTGAAATTAAGTTGTCAATACCATTCTTCTACAGTAAGCACTAATAGGTGTGTTATACATGAATACACCCTATGCATTTCTTTGAATCAGGGGAAGAAAAATAATAGCTATAACTTGCTAAAAAAAAAAAAGTCATAAAATACCTGCCATTCTTGCTTCTAGTTTTTGATTAATATTTTTAATTTGGAGAATTTAGAAATATATAGGAAATGTGTGATACTCATTAACCAAGACCCATAGACGAACATAATCCCATGTCTATATAATAATTGGAGTTGTAATTTATAACAGATACCAAATACAATGCAAGCTTGTTACAAGTATCAAAAGCTTCCTCATCCTAAAACATTTATGTTTTGAATAGTTGCTAGCTCTAAAATTTTTATATCCATTGTAAGTATTCATTTGTTTAAATTTAAGCTTTCTGTCCATCAGTGCCTTGAGAAATTTTTAAACTATATTCTTGACTTTTTAGTATCTTTTTACTTTGATCATGGTCTAGATTGTAGATATCTGGAAAATCCAAACATTTTGGGGTATATGTGTTATTGAAATATTTCAGAACAGGTGATACTATTTGGAGCTAAAATAAATAAAATTTCAAGGTTAAGAAACTCCAAATCTATAAAGAATATTTGCCATCAAATAGGTGGCATGATGCTTGATGCTATTTAGGGAGGCCGGAGTACCCCGACAATTAAAACAGGAAACACACGAGACATAAGTGCAAGGGGAAAATGAGCACACTAAAAAACATAAAAAGCCACGTAACTAATAAAACAGCAAAGATATTCAACTAACAACTAAAATTTTTGTATGTAAGCTTTCACTGTCGATTTCAGTGTGTGCAGTTTCTGAAACCAATTGGAGAAAGAGGGCTTTCCTAAACTGAGCAAAAGCTTAAGATAACAGCTCTCACAAGTTCTTCAGATCTTAAAAGTACAAGAATGAAGTCCTGATTGTCAGCCTTGAGTGCGTATTAGCATTACTACAAAGTTGTTTAAACAAACAAACAACTCCCCTCCCCCAAATAAATCCCCACCCATGCCCTTGCCCTATCCCCAGAGACTCTGGTTCAAGTGTTTGGAGTGGGGACACAAACAATGCTATTTATTACAAGCATGCAGGTGAACCTAATGTACCGACAGGGCTCAGACCCACTGAACTAGAGCAAAAATCAAATGAAAGGATGAGAGAAAGCTGATGGTGATCTTGGAGTCTGATCATCTGTCATGGAAATAAACTCATCCACGACAATACAAAAAATACAAGTGACTAGATTAATAAGACTGAGCACATTCTCATTCCGATTTAATTTTAAATAGACAAGAGAAAATCATTCCCCCTGCCTTTTTAATCCACGAGGAACGTAAGAAGAGTAATAGAAGAAATGTCTTAATGGGTCAGTCCAGTAAGCTTCATTCAGCTGTACAGAAGGACCCAGAGGGGTTCATCTATCAAAGGCCAGTCCTTCCACCCCTACTCTGGATGCTACTTGCTTCTGAACCTATTCTACATTGAATGCTCTCTCTTCCATATCTCATCTCTCTCTCTTGAATCCACCCCACTAATATTTAAACATTTTAGACTCTCCTGTCTTAAACACACGTGACTGGATCCCTGACATCCTTGCCCATGAATGCATCAGCACAGCTCCTCAAAGCAGCTGCTAACAGTCCTGGGCATCCCCTCTCATAATGAAATCACCAAGTTCTTTGATACTGCCTTAAAAAGTCTCTCAAACAGGTCACCTCTCTCCATGCCTACTGCCACTTACCCAATTCCAAGCCACCATTGCCCCTGTACTGCAAGTATGGAAATAGCCTTGTAATCTGGTATTCTTAGATTCACTTTTCTCCTCCCAGGTCCCTTCTCCACATTGTAGCTGAAGTAAGCTCACTTTGGCAAATTACCAAACCCACGCTTCAGTTTCGTCAAATGTAACGTCCTTCCCCCCCACCCCCAGACTTTATAAGATTATTGTAAAGATCAAATGAATACTAGACAAAAGCAGTTGGCAACTGCAAGCCATAAATGGTAGCTATTATATTTATGAATGTACAAATACTTAATAGCAACTAAACTACTTACATCAGGATATGAAATATAATATTCAGGGACTAAAGCAAAAGGCCTACAGAGTCTTGTTTAATCTTGCCCCCACCAACATTCCAGGCTCATCTTAGACTCCACACACCAGCCTCGTAAAGTTGTTTCCTTTGTCTGGAATGCTTTCCTTGCCCCACTTGGCCAACTAACTCCTGCTCATCATTCAAGTTCTGACTTAAACCTTAATTTCTCCAAGAAACCTACCCTGATTCCCCCACCTCCCTTCCCCACGAGTATCAGGTCTCCCAAACCTTCTATACTACTTCCTGATACATCACATTTGTCATTATCTGTTCCATGCCCTTCCTTCCCACTAGCCTGTGTGCCTCATGAAGGATTA